CAGCGGGAAACGGAGCAACACGGCTGGGAGCTGGCAGAGGGGAGTGGGCTGGAACTGGGGTGCTTTGCTTCCCACTGCTGCCGGTGAGTGCAGGGGACGGTCTTTTCCCCAACCCCCCCACCCAAGTGACACAGCTGGGGTGGGGGAGTGGGCCGGGTCATTCCGCTTCCTGCTGCTGACGCCATGCCCCCCGCAAATCCCCCAGGCCACTCTGGGCCTGTGGGGCCCCCCCAAAGTGGCCCCCCCACAGCTCCTGCCTCCCCAGCCCCGCAGGCCTTGAGTGCAGCCCAGACCCTCTGTGGGGGGTGGAGGGAGCTAATGCTTGGGCTGCATAGGGCACCATAATTGGTTGGGATGGCCCTGGGAGAAAGCATTTATATACTTGTGGGTGTAAATTAAAGGACACTAAATTTCATGTTCTGTATTACTGATGTCATTTGAGCAATGTGCCCTATAAACCCTAGATTTATTCTATTTATTTCACACTTCCTGAAATCTTACAATGCGATCCATGTATTTTATTCTAAATTGATATATATGTATACTACTGTCTCCTAATGAAATAGCTTATACTTTATCACTCCTTATATACCCATTCATCTGTGCTTTAAATTGTATGGCATTTGAAAACTGCCTGTCTTCTGCACATGTACACATACTGTATAGTCCATATTAAAAATAATCAGTTTGATCAATATTCTGAAAATGAATTTTATTTTGCTGAACACTTATCTTTTATAGACATCATTCACTAAATCTATTCTAGATTATAAAACCTTCCTATTTCTGATTCCTATAGTAACATATATTCTAATTTTAAAAATGCATATTGATTTTGAAGCCTTTATTCAGGGCTCCTGTTTTAAACATACGTAGTATTTTGCAAAAAGTTTAAAATCCTAACAAACACTTTTTTGTTTGCAGATGACATTTCCCGTGTTAAACTTTCAATCCAAAACCATCCAACTGATGATTATATTAATGCAAATTATATGCCCGTGAGTATACTAAAATCATTAACATTAAAAATTGGGTCTGTTTTTTGACAGACTTATAAAGTTATGTGAAGCTTTAAAATGTTGTTCTTATCTGATCATTAAAAATAGTTATGTGGTTTTATTTTTATTTTAGGGATACAACTCCAAGAAAGAATTTATTGCTGCACAAGGCCCCTTACCCAACACTGTGCAAGACTTCTGGCGCATGATTTGGGAAAAAAATATCTATGCTATTGTTATGTTGACAAAATGTGTTGAACAAGGCAGGGTATGTTTTTGTTAAAAATGCATTTTCCTTTGAGATGCAATCCACTAATTCTAAGTAGTAAAAAATAACACAATAATATTTATATAGCGCTTGTTTATCCTGGGACTCCAAAGTCTTTAAAGATTAGAGAACGTGTGTGAAGTTTATTTCATCCACTTTCATGTTCTCATTACTGTTTGGGGTCTAGCAGGAATTTTTTTGGGGGTGGGGGTGGGGGAGTTCAGCATTGCACAATTGGTTTAGGCACATTATGGACTTTTTAGCCTTCCTCTGATGCATCTGGTAATGGCCCGTACTGGAAGCAGGATACTTGACTAGATGAACCAACAAATCCAATCAATACGGCAAAAAAAAAAAAGAAATGCAGAAGCATCAAAAATGCTAGAAAATACACCCCCCCATCCTCCAATGGGATTCACTCATGTGGCTCTGAACACAGGATTGTGGTTCAGTCATGTCTTAGACAGCAAAGTGTAAAGCAATTTTATCCCCTTCTTGAGAATGTTCTGGTTGCTCGGCTAACCACTCAGACAGAAAATGCCAGAGCTGAACTACACAAGCAGCCTTAACTTTGCTTCGTTTGTATTTTTTGTGTCAATTTTTTGTCCCTCTTTCACCGTATATGTTTAAATGTATTAACTTTCCATTTGGGCCTGATATGCTTCCACTGAAGTCAGTGGCAAAACTCTCAGTGACTGCAATGAGAGCAGGAGCCAAGTCTTTTGTAAAAATGAAAGGATAAAAAGTTCATCTGACTACCTAGCTAATCTCAGTATCATACAGCTGAGGCTGGCTAAAAAGGCAATGAGATGCACCTGCTAAACAAAAAAGAATTGGTTTTGAATCACTTTAGAGACTAACAAATTTATTTGGGCATAAGCTTTCATGGGCTAAAACCCACTTCATCAGATGCATGGAGTAGAACATACAGTAGGGAGGTATAAATATACTGCATATGAAAAGATGGAAGTTGCCTTACCAAGTGGGGGGTCAGGGCTAACGAGCCAATTCAATTAAGTTTGAAGTAGGCTATTCTCAAGAGTTGACAAGCAGAAGGCGTGGAAATCACTTTTGTAGTGTTAATGAGGCCAATGTAAACAAGGTGGCCCATCTCAAACAGTTGACAAGAAGGTGTGAGTATTTAGCAAGGGGAAATTCGTTTTTGTAAAAACAAGGAGTACTTTTGGCACCTTAGAGACTAACAAATTCACTCCCAGTCTTTATTCAGGCCTAATTTGATGGTATCCAGTTCACAAATTAATTTCAGTTCTGCAGTTTCTCGTTGGAGTCTGTTTTTGAAGTTTTTTGTTGTTGAAGAATTGCCACTTTTAAGTCTGTTATTGAGTGACCAGGGAGATTGGAATATAATGTACTTATTTATTTTGATTATGAAGGATAGCTGTACAGGCTTCAGTGCCCTACCACACATTAACAACATAATCCCAGCCGCATTAAACAATCAGTCTGACAAGAACTCTGCAAAAAAAGCTCCCTTCCCAACCCATTGTCGTTCCACGAAACTGCCTTCAAACATCTGCAAAAACCCTTTCAAAAAGGCATCTTTTGCAATATATACAGAAGGTCATAGAATCATAAGAATGGAGGCCTGAAAGGGACCTCAGTAGGTCATCTAGTCCAGTTCCCTGCACTAAAGGCAGGACTATATATTATCTAGACCATCCTTGACAGGTGTTTGTGTAACCTGTTCTTAGAAACCTCCAGTGACGGAGATTCCATGACCTCCGTAGGTAATTTGTTCCAGTGCTTAACTACCCTTTCTCTTATTGTTTAAGTTGGTTTTTAAAAGTATATTTGAACCCAGGTAGCTTCATGCTATTGTTGATTTCATTTTCATTTTAAAACACAAATCATGAGGATAGAAATTTTCACAATGTGAGGAATTTTCAGCTGACTGGAACCTGGAATTCCTGTTCTGCAAGAAATTCTGAAATCTCAAAAAATAAAATAAAATTCTGCATTGAAATGAAACCATGAAATTTCCCAAAGAATGGGAATTCTGAAAATTTATTTTGGGGGAAAACAAACAAACAAAAACAGAATTTTGCTTTAACTTTTCAAAACAAATGTGATGAAACTTTGTCAGGTGCCCAGAGACCTGGCATGTTCCTTGCTGAGGTCACCAGAGTTGGGTTATTTTGGAGCAAGGTGGGGACCAAGTATAAATACAAGAAATATTACAATCTTTGTTGCATGTTAGAGACAGAATATTTTGAAGCCGAGTCTCCCATCAATGGATGGGAGATTTACATGCACAAGTCCCACTAATATAGTAAGAGGACAGGTGCATCAAGCAGAATAAGCCTCTATTGACTAGATATTCAGAGGTACTGAGCATCCATGACTCCTGTTGACTTCAGTGGGAGCTGTTACTACTCTGAACCCTTGGAATCGGGCCATCGATATCTAACAGATGACATTCATGTGGCCAAATTATAACTGCTTTGGCACAGGGTGTACTGGGATGGGAAGATGGAGCAAGCTTTCTCCTCTCGCCAATCCTGCTAATTCCCAGTATGTTTGTACAGGAGGCAGCCATAGTTCAGCTGCAGGCATTGAAGATCACAAGGGAGGTAACTAGTGCTGCTGGCAGCCCCAGGGAAGAGTGTCTGGACAGGGCAATAAAGTTACATTAATGATCAATGTAACCCATTTTGTCCATACCACAGAAAAATTTTATACCTCAGGACACTAAAGCATAAGTAAGCAATGAAAATCAGGAACGGAATTGTGGTTTGTATTGCTTTAAGCCTATTGTCATCTAGAATCTTTTATGAGTAAATTATATTACCTTGTTATCTGATTAATTTTCCAAAAGCTAATCATGATTATTATGGTTTACAACTATCTATTGAATGTCCTCAAGTCTAGGCTGGACTGTAATTTAGGGATAAAAGGGGAAAATATACAATTTATCCTTGCACTGCTTTCCCCCCGCCTTGCTTTTTCTTTGCGCTCCTGTATTACTGCTGTACAGTATAGCTAACATTATCGCTTTCTTTTTAGACAAAATGTGAGGAATATTGGCCAGACAAAGGATCCAACTATTACGATGACATTACTGTAACATTGGTCTCAGAGTATGTCCTTCCAGAATGGACAATAAGAGACTTCACAGTGGAAGACGTGAGTAATTCATTGGGTGTATAACACTCTAATGTGTTTGTAGAAATATATCTACTGCATCTCTGGGAAGAGAAACTTCACCATCCAAGTCAAATTAGAATAGGGAAAGCAATCATTCCTGCAGACGTCACAACAAAAGTAAAACTTAGCTAAAGGAAAAATATTGTACAGCTTGTTTTAATTTGGGACATGATAGCACTAGTCTCCTTGCTGCTTAAGATCTGATTAAGGTGTTTCATGCTGTGTATCAGCAATAGGCCTCATGTGGGAGTCAGGGACTGAATGTGCACCTGCTGATTGGACCCATAATTTGAACTTTCAGGGCTCTATTATATAACCCTCTGATGGGCCTACTAATGAATTGTCAGTATGGGACCTCATTTGTGATTAAAGGATCTCTGCATGAAAATTTGTCTACAGGATCCAGTCACATTATGGGAACACTAGCAGCAGTGATGCAGAGCCCATGCTGTGATCCTGCAACCCATGCTGACATGAGCAGGCCTTACTCACACACTAAAGAGACCACAATATAAAGGCAAAGGCAAAAGAGAAGAATTTCAAACCTTTATCTGGGCAAAGGGTTTCCTCAGCCATAAAGAGAAAACTGAATAATGTATCCATAAAGTAGTGCACAGTTCACAGGAGGCAACTGCAATAATGCTGAACTATCTGAAATATTTTCCTACCATAATTGTTTTGTGATGTTCTCTTGAGGCCTAATTTCTCATCTTCAATGTATGTTCTTTTAGAGGGATGCAACTGAAAGCCACTCTGTACGCCAGTTCCATTTCACTTCCTGGCCTGACCATGGTGTTCCAGAGACAACAGACCTTCTTATTAACTTCAGACATCTGGTACAGGAAAACATTAGACAAAATCCCCCAGATTCTCCTACTCTGGTGCACTGCAGGTACAGTAATTCCACACTGGCTTCCTTTTAAGAGCAAGTTAAATATTTCAAGCAGTAGAAAAAGCTCAACACCTTTACTATTTATGTATGTGTATTGTTCATCCTGCCAAGCTATATGAAAGGGCCCTTTGCTGTACACATGAGAAATGCAATAAAACAGTGTGGATGCCAAAATGCATTACCCTACAGTAAACAGTTCATTAAGGGGTTTTGTTGCTGTAGTCCTTTTGGGGGTCTCTCATTGACTGGAAAATTCATCACCAAAAATTGCCTTATAAAGCACTTTATGTATAATTTTTATGGGTTTTGCGAGCCCAGAAGGAATCATGCAGCCCTACTGACAATGGTAATAAGAACTCCTACAGACTGTAAGAGCCTTGATCCCAATGCCCACTGAAGTCAGTGGAAATCTTCCTAATAACTTTAATGGCTTTCCATCAGGCCCTGGGTTGTATATAATTAAGAGAAAGTAATAGGTGAAAGGCCATCATGCTTCTGTCTAACGCATAGTCATTTTACTGCAGTGCTGGTGTTGGCAGGACAGGTACTTTCATTGCAATTGACCGCCTGATCCAGCAAATAGAAATGGATAACATCAGTGATGTGTATGGAGTAGTATATGAACTTCGAATGCATCGACCTTTAATGGTGCAAACAGAGGTAAGGCTAATCTCCTCTTCCATTTAACATGCCTGAAGATACCTGCATAATAGCTCATGAAAGGCAGTGTAAATATACAGCTCAGAAATATGTTCCACTCCAGAGGCTTTCTCCTGTTCTTACCCAACATTTCAAAATTCTATTTTTGTCAGCTCAGCAAAGGAGTGCCCAGCAGGGACCCATGGAAACCCTAAAGGGGTACAGAGCCCCTACGATCATCAGGTTTCCACACATCCTGCCCTATCTCTTCCCAGTGAAAGCAGTTACAGACACGGACCATAGTAAAACCCTTAGAGCTGCCACAAAGGGGATGGGGAGTTGGGAGTAAAGTGATTCCGTACGGTGAGCTGGGGGAGCCAGAGGCTGAGGGGTAAATTGTTCCAGCTGGCAGCACCATTTTGGAGCACTGCTGTTGGGCCTGTGTTACTCCTTTAAAGTTCTCCACAGTTGACTGTCAACCAGAGAGATCTAGCTCCATCTCTGCGGGGACAGGGAACTCGGCACATACTCCGCCTTCTCTTGCAGAGGTCTGAAGTGAAAGATGGTGAAATCACAGACTCTGTTCCTTGGGCAAGGGGGAGGTATTTGGGCTGCCATGTAGTCACTGCCACAGCACTTGGGATAGAGAGCCTCTCTCAGAATTACAAGTGTGCGGCAGCATCTATTTATCAGTTTGTTTATTTTGTGGGTTTGGCAGCACTGTCTGTCTAGTCAGTTTCACTGCTTCTCCAGGCTGAATATTCCATGTGGTTTGTGTAGGTCTTTCATATATCAACAAAGGGGAGTAAAACATTTAAAATAACCAGGAAAACAGGAATGTAAGAAACCACAAAAATTGGCAAGGTGATTCTGGTACAGCTATGGTACCTGAAACTGTATTAGCAGGCACTTAAGGAGTTAATCTGGAGGGCCTCACTCCACCTGGAAATGGTGCTGACTACCTGTGTCACTTTGAGTTACCTCCAATAAAACACTTCCATCTGCTGGTATATGTGCCTCTCCCAGTTCCTTGCTCCCATCTGCACCCACATCATGACAGGAACAACTTTTTTTACTTTGAATAGATTAATCTTAATGGGGTCGCTTTTTAAAGGAGCAATCAGTTAAAAGGCCACTGTCAACTTGATTTTTTTTTTAAACTGACTAAAGGGTGCTCTGTCAGATTACTTAAAATTATATAGTATGTCTTCAATTTAATGGAGGGGATGGTGGGTGATTGTTAATCTGTGATTGATATATAGAAGGGTCCTGGGTCTATAACTCCTGTCCTCTTCCCTTTCTTTCTCTGCACAGTCCTGCCTCTTTATGTTCAGTTTCTGCTTTGCTGCTGCTGTAACAAGCAGAAAAAAACCCCATCCCCACCCCCGGTGGCATCGATCATCAATAGAATGATTAATTGAATGACACACAAAATATTGTCAAATGCACCAAATAATCATAGTAATTCTTAGCTACTATTTTTGCAAGTAATACCTATGACCTTTTCAGATGGAAATCTGACTTCTGAAATAATTTTCAGTATGCATTTGCTTCTGCCATTAGCTTTAGTTTGTTTAACCCCCACCATGGGCTTTGTGAGAGGCCATAAGAACCTTGGCATAGCCAAAATCCATGTAGGAAAAAACGCCCCCCGGCTTTGCTTCGCAAAGGATATCTGTATCGGCTGTTCTTTGTTCTAATCTCCTTCAAAGGATATGAACCTCTCTTTCCTGGATTGTGAGGCATACATTAAGGCCCTGATGGTCCTACTGATTCCAAATGTGTGGACTATGTTGAAGTCACTAAGGCTCCCTACAGATGCCATGGATCCTTCCATATAGAGTCAGTTGCAGAATTGAGGCTTACATTTGGGGGAAGTAAAATCCTTTCAGAGTATATTTCTGCTTCTGCTTCTAGCCATATCAGAAATGTTACCTTCATCACAAACGACCTGTGGATTTTTGGGGCAACTGTTTTCTGTTACTTATACATGATCTGCAGGAATATTCGGTGCTGCAGTGCATCTGGCCAGTGTCTGAAAAGCACATTGTATATCCATGAACATAATTACCCTCACAACAATGTATTTGCTACAATCTATAATGCCCTTCATTATTTTTTCTTTTTTTCATTAGGACCAGTATGTCTTCCTAAACCAGTGTGTTTTGGACATTATTAAATCCCAAAGAAACAAAAAATCAGACCTTATCTACCAAAACACAACAGCAATGGCAATCTATGAAAATTTTGCACCAACACCAAGTTTTGAGAAGGCAAATGGCTACCATGCATAACCAGAGAGCGAAGAAATGTCACTAGGAAGCCATTACTGTCCTGCACACAGGAAAACGAAATGCACTGTTATTGTACATGTGTGTGTACAGTGTCTTTTATTATTTTTTCAGTCTTGTATATCAAATTTGAAGATGCCCGTGTAAAAATGTCATTTGGAGTTGTGGGTTAGTATAAAAAGAAGCTGTAAGTTAACAGAGGAAATTGCTTTATCTTGGGAACTTCACAATACTAGTAGGCGAAACAACATTTGCAGTACAAACGGTGAAGTAGATGATAAATATTAAAAATAACAAATTACAAAGGCTCTTTTTTAATTACAATTTTGTATGATTTCATATACAGATACCTGGCTTGTGGGCTGTGGAATATATTTTATAAAAGTCAGGAACATATTTTATCTACTGTACCTGGTTACTTAGTTGATGGATATATGCTTCATTGTGATTTGTCCTTAGTGTTCCGTTTGATTTATAAGAAGGAGTACAAACGCCTCCTACAAATGGATGTTGATATTTGGAAATTGTGCCTTTTCTGGTTATTACTCTGTAGACAAAAATAATCAGAGCCCTATATTTTTGTATTGAGACTTCTAATTAGAATATAGATTTTAACTGTAGTAACATTGCTGGCGAGACGCTCCTAGATTTTGGTAGTGATCTTCCCCTTTTTGTATTCCATCACAACCTTCAGAGGCCTTATATCACAGTGCCTCAGTCTAGAGGAAAAGGAGGGTAAGGGTTGTGTGTCATTCTGAGCTTTAGTGCGCGTGTGTGTGTGTGTGTGTGTGTGTGAGAGAGAGAGAGAGAGAGAGGGGGGGGAAGCAACTCCTCCCATTTCTGGCTGATATTTCTGATTTATAGAGTTTATAAGGATTTATTTAAAGGTGCAATATGTGATTTATTGAATAATGATTGCTCTACTTAAAGAGAGCTTTACTCAGGTTGTCTCTTTTTTAATTATTGTTTTTTTTCTTAAATATATAAATCTGTGAAAATTTCAGACTGAGAATTCACATGTCAAAGTGCTCCCAAACAGGTTCACTGGCTTTATTCAATTTAGCAAAAGTAAATGCACAAATATCTACTGTATATATCAATTACTAGAATCTGTTGTTTTAGCCTGTCAAAACTGAGATGTGTTTTATCTTGGTGCATCTCAAAAATATAATTTAACTGTTTTATAATTGTTTCCAATATGCTGCTGCTGCTATTTTAACTGATCCTTTTTTAAAAACCTAGATATTAATATTACATGTCAAGGGCTAATTTGGATTTATTTTGCTGGTACATTAATGTTAAACGTATGAAGGCATTACCAATGAAGGACTTATTTGTTATTTTTAAGGGGTACTGGGTGTTTTTTTCTTCTTTGGATCAGTGCACTGGTTGCATTGCAAAGTAAGAAGTTCAGGAACATCCATAAAATAGCTGTTAAAGTCTTATGAAGGTTTAATAGCCAGCGTACCTGGGATTCTGCAGCATTTGAAAGCCAGTTTGTATGACAAAGATGACAAAAACTGCTGCAAATTTTGGAAATGATTGTGGCACTACAATGGGTAGCTGGCTGCCCTGTAGAATCCATTGTTGAATGAAAAATCCCAGGCATCCTGGCCTCTATAGTCCCACATCTGTGAACTTAAGTACTGGCAACAGTAATTCTTATTCGGTAATGGAAGTGTGTCATTTAAGCAAAACTGGAGGGATACCCACACCACGGTTTGACCAGGACTCATAACAGCCATTTGTTGTGTTTATTTTATTTTTTCTTCTTCTTATCTGAAATATTTAAAATCTATCAAACCGTCCCACCAGACTCCTTCTCAAATGGAAATTGCAATCGTGATTTTTTTTACCCTGCATCCTTTCTAAGGTGCCATTAGATCTCAACGAAATGCAAATGCAACAACTTCTTCACTTAGCTTGGCAGCACAGATCAAACCAAAAAAATCCCTAAGGCTTCACTAGAGAGAAGGGCCTGCCCCTCTACATTGTTGGGGGAGGGAGTGTTTGTTTTTCATTTAAATACTACTACTCTCTGTGGTAGTGCAGTCTTAAGGTACCATGGAAATGCATGGCTGGTCAGAAATCGTTATTTCTGGGACAGCCCAGAAGGTCTTTAGTCCAAGAATACTGCACTTGGTTTAAAAAGTGACTATCTTGTGTAGCAGAGAAGAGCAGTGAATGCATTGTCTCTCATAGTGTTTGTGCTGTGGATTCTGCACTTGCTTTATATAGTGGATGCATCTGCATTATATAGCAGCAGAACCTCAGAAAACTAGCTATAACTGTGACTATCTATTTCGGTCTAAACACCTATTTTTAGATTGTTGCAGTAGCAGGTGATTAAAAGTGGGATCCTAGATACAATTTGTTTCCATTAGGAAAACAATAGAATAAATATTTGTCAAGAGATTCCTGAGAAGTAAATAAAAACTCTATCCAATCAAATCCTTTTATGGATTCCAGGTTCCCAAGACAAATATCTGCTAAATCAGGAGAGAGTCTGATTTCCCCGCTTATGAATTAAATGTGAGAAGAACACAATAGATGAGATTACAGGGCCAATCCTGCCTGACTAAAACAGTCACTATTCCCAATCAAGTCTATTACCCAGAGAGGCCAAAAAGAATTTTCCAAGCTCAGTGGTTTGAACATTGGCCTGCTAAACCTAGAGTTATGAGTTCAATCCTTGAGGGGGCTATTTAGGGAACTGGGGCAAAAATCCATCTGGGGATTGGTCCTGCTTTGAGCAGGGGGTTGGACTAGATGACCTTCTGAGGTCCCTTCCAACCCTGATATTCTATGAGCAAGGCATGCAGGCTCAGGCCATATAGTTTTTAGTGGACAGAAAAGGTTGATTAATGCTTAAAGTGATGTATCCATGAAGTTGGGTGTTGTTCCACTGTGACTAACTAGGACAGGCCACATAGGAACTCCCACTGGAAGGAATGGGTCTTACAGGTAATTTTTTATCTTAGAGAGATTCCCTCTAACCAAGATGACTTGAATAGGATTCTAGCATATGTTTCTCATCTACAAACTGATTTTCTATGTCTTTAGTTTCTTTTGATTCAGGACTAAAGGTTGCTATTTATACTGTCTTGTTGCTCTTTATTCTGTTCATTCAGTGCTTATTGTTGGTGGTGCTTGCCTAAAGTAATCTGCTTTCCCAGCCTCAAAACTCTCCTGTGTTACAAAACTGGGTTTTCTAACTGGGGTGGTTGTCTTTTTTCCTTCAATTTGGGACCCTTTTAAAAAGGGAAATGTTCACGTGTGTCAAATAAGGGTTGCTTTTAGTTGAATATTTTGATGTACAAATTTCAGTGTTTTTCATACAGCTGTACAGAAACTTGTAGCACATTGTCTTAATTTTTTAATAGTTTGTTTTAAAGATAAAGATAATTAAAAAGCATTAACTTAGAGTGGTTCTTTCCATTTTGTTTCTTTTTTCCTCCCTTTTTAACTTAAAATGAATTTTCCATGTCTCCAATCTGGTTCTGGACAAACTTAAAGTCAATAAACTAACTTAAGCCTCAATCCTGCACTGTGATGCAGATTCTCTGTGAAGGGATAGGGGTCTGTTCATTACTTTGCAGGACCAGGGCTTAATGCTAACACCTCAAGGGCAGCTACTGTGTTCTCTAAATCAGGCCCTAGGTGCTAGTTAAAGGAGTATGGAGTGAATGGAAAAATTCCCATTGAAATGAATGGGCTTTGGTTCAGGGTCTAAGTATTTGTGGGATTCAAACACCTACTCCTATAATAATCGAAGGGGATAGGGTGGGGATAGTCCTCCTCATCCACTGAAATGAGTATTCTGCTTTCAACAGAAATGCCTGAGAAGGGCTATAGAAATAACTGTATAAAGTGATTCCTCCGGCGTGGATTGTTGGGGGTGATTGATTCTGGAGTTAAATAATGATAGATAAAATACCAATACCTGATCCGTTTCTTCTGAAATTCCCAGTTTTCTTCTCCTTCGGTTATGTTAACCATGAACAAGCAGGGCCACATACCCGCACACTGGTGTGACATTGGCACTCGGTATGTGCAACGTTCGTCATGAGACTTATCAGCACAAAATCTTGTGATGGCCTATAATAACCCCATGAAAGTGACGGATGGTGTGACAGGATGTATGATGTGAGATCACACACAGTAAGTTTCATATGAGCTCTTGTGGTAATCGCACAATCACTGTGTATGAGAATAATATCAGAGAAGAAACAGTGACAACAAGTCCTCCATTGTACAATGCACAGCCTGTGATTGGGATTGCAGAGGCAATGAGCTACTGAGAAACTTTTAAGAAAGGTTTGTTTTTTCTTAAATCACAAATGTATGTTGTTTTAAAAATATATAACTGATAAATCAAACTGTTCTAGATGTCTTCAGAGAGCTTGGAGAATTTACAAAGCCAACCAGGAGTCACGCATTGCCCATAGCTGCAAAAATAACATCTCTTTTAGCCATTTTTAGCCACGGTCTGTTTCCAAATTGTGGTAGGTGACAAGAAAGGCTAAAGTCAATCTGCAACTTAGTCAGTCTCTTTTGTTATTTCCTCTAGAAACATAATGGAAGCAGATTGTACCTCTTCACAAAATAGGCCCTATGTGAAAATGAATCTGAATGTGGTATCAGGAAGACCGTTCCCCCATACAATGTCCTAGGCAGCAGATAAATCTAAGACCACTCCCCCAGTCTTGACTTCTGCTGGCATTCTGCTTGTGTGTGTTGTTGAGGCTAATATTTGGAGCTCATGGGTTAAAGTAAGGCTAAAGGCAAAGGGAGAGTTTCCAACCCTCTCCTTCTCCTGGGCTTGGGGAAGCTCACCTCCCTCTGGCTCTTCACTGTTAAGTGAGGTGAGACCAAATCCAGGCTGACGAATCTGATGTTGAAGCAATAGGAGCAGCTGGTACCTGACTAGGGAGTTTCTGTGGCTCTAAGCCTTTCCTGCAAGGAGTAGAAGCAATCCCAACACCTCACTGAAAGGAGAAGAAGCTGGGGTGTTCCATCTGCCTCCTTTCTTCAACAGCACATCAGGGTGCCGAGAGCAGAACCTACCCCTCCCTGACCCTTTTACTTAGCTGAGCTCTATTCATCTGCATGAGAAAGTAGCATTTTCTTCCATCTGCATTAGTGGGAGGCATAGATCCTGTGGGTTGGGGCAGGGTGTGTGATTGGGCTAAAGTTACTAAACTGTGCACTTGAAGCTAAACCAGCACTATCACATTGCTGGCAGAGGTGCAAAAGTTCTGAATTGGCTTTGACCAATATGCTAAGTAACTTAATGGGCCAATTATTTCATAGACTATGTGGCTGGGTTGTCTGTGTGTTGTTGTTTTTTTTTCATTTTTAATAATCTGCCTGTCTTTCTGCTCCCTGAGGTTATTCCTGTTCACAGCAATAATGCTATGCCAGGCTACGTTGGCACAATGGAACAGGAATATTAACAGGGCAGGTATAATGTACAGTTCCAGGAGACTAGCCAATATACACAATCGTTCTGTTGCTGATGACTGTTCTCTAGCGTTGGCTTCATTATTAAAAATATCTTCATAGAGATGCCAAATTTACCTTTCTTAGGTCTATACAATTTACCTTCATTTTAATATTATTCTGTTTATTGTGTTATGTGGCTCAGAGAATGTGCAGATTTCAGTAAAATTGTACGTAACTTCTTTTTAAAGAAAAGAACATTCTCTGAAACCGAGAAATCTCCCCTAACTTTCAAACTAACTCTTAGGAGAGGGGCCTTGACCTGTACTCTAGAGTTAAGTAGCCTCTGATTCTCTTGGACCCAATGGGTTATGCAATTCTGAAGTTGAAGGTCATCTGCCAATAATGCTTGGTCACTTCCTCACAACTGTACAGATCTAGGCACTGTTAACTTTTAGATCTGCTAAGACTGAGTCATTTGGAGACAGATGCAGGCTCTCTCTAAAACGAGTTTTTAGTAGAGTTTTCTCCCCCACACCCCAAAAAAGGTTAACTCTTCAGCAAAAAATCAAACCCCAAAATATTTCAATTTGGAAATGCTACCATAGTGCCTCATGGGAGTTGTAGTTCAGATACCGCACGCTCTCAGCCTCCTGTGTAGTCCTGTCTCCCTGCTCAGACATCTCCCATGATGTACCATGGTTTCACTCTCACCAAAAGATGGATGGAGGTAATTGTATCATAGGAGATGTGGTCCAACTGGGGAGCCCAACCCATAGAGGAGAAAGGGGACATAAGGAAAGTGAATTACAACTGCTATGAGGTGTCACAGCAATATTTTTTAATCAGAAAACTGACCAGCTTTAGTTTTTAGCATTGCCAATCTTACATGTAGCATGTAATTGGATTTTAGAGCACAGTTACTGATCCATAGTTTTGTTAAGTTTCCATTTAACGGACATCCATCTCGTAAACACTGACAGTAAATTAGGAATGTTAGTTCTGCTAATTGGGAAAAATACACCCCTGCTTTTACTTAAAGCAAGAACACTTTTGCTTCTTGTTCTCATTTCACCTCTAAGTCTCCAAGTGGTCATAGATGAAATGCCTCTCTGCTCAAAGGCATCCCTGACTTGGTAGTTCCAAAGTTTCACAGATCTTGTCCCCTTGTTTATATTCCCAGCAAAATGGTAATGGCTTGTGTTCTCAATAAAGTTACTTTACTCATGAAATACATGTGGATTTGTAGCGCGGTGGTTACCCGCTCCTGCCCTGAGGAGTTTGGAACAGCCCTGGGAGAAGGCTGTTCCAGGGAGAAGCAGCTACTGGGCTGATTGGGGAAACAGCCGCAGCTGGGCCATGCCCCAATCAGGCCCCAGCTGGCCCTATAAAGGCTGGGGAGCCAGGAGCTCAGATAGAGTCTTTCTCTGCACTTAGAGAGGGAGAAGGGCCTGGCTGCAGGGAGCCAAGACAGAGTACCTGGGTGGAGCAGGGCTGGAGAAAGGCTGAGGAGCTAGGGAGCTCCAGCCTGGAAAGCCCCAGGCTGCGGCCTAGTATTAGGCTAAGGGGTACTGGGGGTTGCAGAGGGCAACCCAGGTGTAGGCCAAGGCAGCAGGTCCAAACCCAACCTTGCCTGTGATGAGTGGCTGATACTGCAGTCTGCCCCAGGGAGTGGGGCTAGATGGTGACTGGCAGTAGCCTTATTCTGAGGCGAGGTGGGTTTAGTGGGTGGGGGTTCCCTGGGAGGGGAGACCCAGCATGTGTGGGTATTGTCAGGGGGCAGCACCCAGAGCAAGGGGCACTGGGGTCCTGGGAGGGACACGGGGGCCAGTGCAGACAACAAGGTGGATCACTGGCCTGCAGAGGGCGCTCCAGAGGCTGGTGAGCTAATTCTCTGGATGACCAGCAGGAGGCACCGCAGGGGTGAGTCCGACATTTACAGCATTGTGCATCTATGGAATGTAAATGAAGCTTTAAACTACCTGTGATTCATTTTTGGAATCAATTTTTATCATGTTACAGCAGGTATATGGCTCGAAATTTCCAGGGTCAGAAGTGCACAGTGAAAACAGGTTTGCATTACACACACAATGGTAAAGGTGGGTCTAAAACGAGCAGCACTGAAGACCTATGCCCACCTGAAGAATATTTACTTTCTCTCTTGGAGGAAAAATAACCCGCTAAACTCTGTTTTAGCCTCCAGATGGCATATGATACCATACCATTATTCTTTCCAGAAATAGATCTTTCAGGATATTTTTCCTGTTACTCTACCAACATTCTTCTTCTTCTTCTGTAATTTTAGCCCATTACTTCTAGTAACCTCCCTTTGTGCCATACCCTAAATAACTACCCTCTTTCCAGGAGGTTTAACCCTTCAAATTCATAAAGATGGTTATGCCTCCTCTCCAGCCCAAAGTGGTTGATTCAACAAAGCATATATGCACTTATTTGACTCATTGACTTCAATGGGATTTAAGTGTGTGCTTACAAGTAAGAATGTGCTTAAGTGATTTACTTAATCCAAGTTTTAGCCAAGCTATTCACAAGTGTATGCATTTCAGTTCTCCAGCTTCCCATCACTTTTGTTGCTCTTCTCTGAGCTCCCTCCAATTTGTCAATATCCTTCTGGTATGGTTGTACCTGTAAATAAAGAGATGGGCCTGAGCCACAAAGTTTGATGGGCTGTTTAGCTCCACCATTTCAGTCAAGGCCATTGTGTAGATGCGGTACAAGCCAGGCTCAAAGTCGGAATCCAGATCTCAACTTCCTCGGTTTTTGAAGGTGTTGGGTGTGAACCGAACCTGCGCTTTCATCTGTGGAATTAAAGCTCAAGATTCAGATGGCTTGTAACTTGCTACACTCGCTAAGAAATTGTAGTTTCGCTTTTACTCCATACTCGAAAACCCATCACAGGGATGCCAATGTTTGACACTCTATTTCCCCGCAGTTATTCCAAAGTCGTGTCTTGCTGAATTCTAGA